AATCTGTACTGTTCAGTGGTCTGAAAAAGAACATTAACCCAATGCCGCCGGGTATGACGTGTACGTACGTGCTATGCCCACCGTGAGTACTTATTTGATTGTTTTTACGCATAGATGGCAACACTTGTACTAAATCACCAATGGGCCAACTACGAGTACCGCCCGTCTTGCTTGTTTACCCGTTTCTTTGATTTACGAAATATTTTACATTATCTTATTTTGCTGTTACTAAAGTTAAAAAACATTATAAAAATTATAATGTTTATGATAAAAATAACACCATCGATTTTCATAGCACTAGTGAAAAATATGTTTTTACCGCCATTTCAAATCAGGCGTTAGCAGAGCCATCTATTGGCAGACATTTCACAAAAAACATAGAAAGTGGGCACAGCATTTTCCCCATTTTTTGTTCATTTTCCCCAGCGGCATTGGGTTAACCCATCAATGCCTAACAACAGTCAATAATATACCAATCAAAATTGGCAAGTGCAAAGCCCATGTAATTTCAAAACTGAGGCACTGAAATTTATATAATGAGCTTAGTTGTGTGTTAGCAGATGGATTTTGACTTTTGAGGTATGCACATTAGAGGTAATTTGCAACAGTTGAATGCATGATAGCAGGGGATTAAGTGTAATGTCATTAATATTTCAACACTTAATATCAGCAGCATATATACTGCCAACAGACAGCAATTTGATACAAAATCAAAATTCTTCTACATTTTCAAATGAAGATATAACAGTATCTATATAAATCTAAGGTACAGTCATCTTGAGTAATCAAGATTATATCTTTCAATTTACATGAATAACCTCTGGTTTGACTTAGTTATTAAAACCTATCACTTTTTTAAGTAAAAATTTTAATTGAAATGGAACAACTACTTTAGTATCAGTGAAAAAAAATCTGCAAAATATCTGCACTTACCTAAGTTTCTCTCTTATGGGCATGAATAATTTTACTATATACATTTCACATTATTCTCAAAAGATATAATACTCAATATGTACTTTTCCCCCCCACCATCGGCTATGTCAAAAATATTTCAAACCTAAGCACTTCTTACAAGATGGAGAGAAAAAACACATACTTAAAAAAATAATAATAATAAATAATAAATAAATAAACAGCCAATACCTCAAAAGCCTACACATATCAACTTTATTCAAATAAGTCAACAAATGAAAATCAATAAAATTTGCACTGTATTTCAAAGAACTATTAAATACAATCCCATGCATTGCTCCTCAGATTTCCTCTAAAATGACTAGGCAGATTAACTTTATTTTTATCAATACATGAAAAGGAATATACAAATACATTCTCCCACAAATGCAAAATCCATTTTCGTAGTAAAATAACGATAAATCACAAATATAGAAGGCTGACCTTAAGTGCATGCACAAGTAAGTTTACATACATAAATGACAAAATACGCACACACACACCAGACACACACCCACACATATTCACACACACAGACACGTAAATTTATACACAGACACACCCACACATGTGAACATGAAGATGCATATACTTGCACACATGCACAGAAATATACAAACATACACTCACAGACATACACACACAAAATTCCTTTTACAGTTTTTAAAAATTAGTAACAATCTGTCTTATATTCTAACTCTCATCTGAAAGCACTGCTTAGAGAAGATTCTTATATTAAATATTTATAACATTATATATAAAAGCTTAGCCAAGGGGAACACTTGGTCTACAGCAACCTGTGTGGAGGCAGAGAGATCAGGCAGAGCAATCATGCACATTACATGTTACCTTCTGTAATGTTAAGTATCTGATCTTGATCTTTCCATCCGCGTAAATCTGGCGTGGAGGCACACGAGGCTAATCAAAAATCAACCATTAATCCCAATACTCATTGTACACTAAAAACATCTAAAAAAACTACTAAAAAATAGGGTTAAGGATTGTTTCACTTATTAATAGAGGAATCACAACAAACTGAAATTCCGTCAGTTAAACTAAATAACTTACCATCTTTACAATATCAATACAACAAACATTCAGCTAAAACACATATCGGCATATTCACTAACTCACTGCACCTAGATGTCAAGGCATTATTGACAGAAAAGTTTATGATCCATAATCCTTTGTTTTAATCTTTTGTGTGGCTTCTACTGCATTTTTCATGGTCAAAGAAAGAGATACTGGGTTCCAGAGTTGGCTGAGAACTGAATTTTCATAATTTTGAAAACTGGCCACTAGGAATAGAAATACATCATCAAACTGGCAAAGTGTGACCTCAAAACCAGCTACTTGATAGTAAAACACTTTTGGCAGCTCAGGTGCAGCAGGTTAATGTAATGATCAGTAACAAAATTAGAATATAAACAACACTATCATCCCAATGAATACTTGTGCTTGTACATGTGTACGTCTGTGTGTGTGTGTGTGTGTGTGTGTGTGTGTGTGTGTGTGTGTGTGTGTGTGTGCGTGTGTGCGTGTGTGTGTGTGTGTGTGTGTGTGTGTGTGTGTGTGTGTGTGTGTGTGTGTGTGTGTGTGTGCGTGCGTGTGTGCATATGTACATGTGTGTGTACGACTGAGTGAGTGAATGCCTGTGTCTATGTTCTTCTATGTGCGTGTGTGACAACAGGGATCCTCTGTACATGTCACAAAGGTTAATACTGTATTAAAGTTCAATCCAAATCCACAGAGCTTGGGCCTAAAATGAAAGACACACTCCCAGACATGCAAGTCGGCAAGATTATCAATAGATTTGCATTTTTGCTTGAAAGAGCTTATATCTATATGTTAACAACTGGCTACCATAACCTTTATAGTACACAATAATATTGATATGGGAAAAGTTTGCTCTAGAAAAAAAGGATCATACTTTATTATCTATTTGAATATTTTATACTTCAGTACAAATAAATATATAGAGGAAATCAAGCAGCCTTTGAATCTCATAGGCAACTCAACTTGTAGGAGCCAAATGAAGATAAAATACTCGAAATAACAATCTATCTTCACAGCATTTTTTCTCTTGGGCATTAAATACGAAATCTAATAATGTTGTTATTAAAAGTCTTTTCTCTGATTTTATTAATACATCACAAAATGGGAATGTTTTCCAAACCCGGAAATAACACTGCCTTATCTATGTATGGAGACCCAGGAGTACTCTTGGGCATTTGTTTTTCATTTCACTATTGAAAGATATATCCGAAGAATGAACATAACACAGCTTATTAGATCATATACTGATGAACTTTCACAGAACATCGTTGACACAAAAATGTCAGAACTTGTGTCATTATTACTAAGAATAAATATTAATGCCAACTTTACACCATGTCCTCATCCAGCTGATGACATTTAGTGCATGGCTGAGGGGAGTAACTAATTCTATCTGCCTATGTTCATGATTAAGATCCTGAGATAAGTTCAAAAGTTGATGCTGCTCCAGGTGTGTATAAGAATCTCATCCTGGATGCTACTATTGGGCATGTTCCAGAGACCAGGACTAAACTTTAACCAAGGATTCCATTTACTAAGCCCTAGTGAGTGCCTGATTTTCCCATTCCTTAAATTTGCAAGAAAATGTGTTCTTTTTTTAAGTGATACTGTTATTATCATTGTAATACCATTATCATAAAGTTATGAAAATAGTAATAACATTAAAAAATGTAAAATAATAATAAGAAAAACTTTCTGAAAATCAAGGAAAAGGATGAAGAGGTAAGGGAGGTCCCTGTGGAGCCAACTCTGAATAAACATAATTAATGAAGTAAAATCAAAGTGGACATAACACATTTTTGTCATTTGAGGTGCATGTGTGTGTGCGCATGTGTGTGTGTGTGCATGAGTGTGTGTGCGCATGTGTGAGCATGTGTGTTCACACACATGCTTACATAAGAATGATAATAACAGGGCAACTTCAGTAAAGCTTACAATACTGTTGGCTGGGCATAACTAAGAGTATTTCTACTTCTTTATAAAAAAAAAATCCTGCCATTCCTCTCACACTCTTGAGAAGCTGTGATATGTCCGTGCATTTTTTTCTTTTTTTTATGTAATACTTAACTAAAGAAAAGAAATTATATTTCTTCAAAATCCTTTTTCTTCTTTACTTTCTTAGGCAATTAAAAAAATTAATAAATAATCACAAGTTCTACCATCCCATTTAAATGTTAGAAAAATAGCATGTAGCTCAATAAATTTACACACTCAAAGGCACAAACAAGATATTCATTGTAATGAAAGTCTAAATTCAATATAAACACCATGTATTATTTCCCTGGTGTGTCGAAAACACCTACACCTACTATAAAACCAAATGCTGCTGAAGTGAAAAAACAGAAGCATTGGAAAACTGAGTTTCAGAATGTTTACAATCTTGGCTCTGGCATGTGTGACTAAAAAGACTTTAACCCTAGCTTCTGAAGACTGTACCTCAATGATTGCAGACAAATGAATGACCATTTAGTGCATAGATAGCTGCCACTTGGATTCTTTGCTTTGTAACAGGGATATATGATCCTACCAGGGTATGAACGGCTTAACAATGTGTCTTTAACCCATTGGCCACGGATTTATGTTCTGTCCCCTGTTGGTTTTGGTGAATTTTGCTACCTACAGATGGCTCCACATGTACTCAGCTGGCAAGGAGTCTATCAGTAGGCCCTAGTTACCGACCCTGATTTTCCCATTCATTGAATTGGCGGGAAAATTAATATCATTGCTTTCGATGCTGTTATTATTGTTACTGATGTTATGATGATTGAATTGTCATTAGAATATTTTTGACAATAAGATGATACAAAAAACCCTTTCCGAAAGTGAAGGAAAAGGCTAAACAGGTGAAATAGGTAGTTCTTGATAACTGGCTATTTGGTGATTAAGAACTTGTAGAGCCATCTAGGTGTAAGTACAATAAATAAACGTGTATCAAAGTGGGTATGGCATCTATTCTTGCCAACCGCGGCCAATGGGTTAACTCTGATTATACA